ACTTGTCATTATCCTCCCTTGTATTTATCCATATGTTGTAGTTATCCTAATCATTATAGGATTAGGATAATCATCCCCTTTATTGTTGTAATCCTTATCTCCTAAGGAATATGCTTATTCTCTTGTATGTATATATATGTATGTGCACGTGATGAATAAGACAATGAGAGTTACAACCTTCTTCTTTATTCTTTAACAATTCTAATTTTATTAGATAAGCAGATATATGTCACATATTGAACCAATACAATATAGATTAGTTATGACTTATGAGTGAAACATTACAAAATAAAAATATATTAAATTCCCTAAATATTATATTTTAGCTTATTTTCATAAAAAACTTTCAAAGTAAAAATGACCACAATAAATTTTATAGAATGGTAAATATATTATTATATCCAAATAATTCTAAATTTTTTTTTGTTTAGAATATAGGGATGAGATTTAAAATATTAAAAAATAAATAATTAATATTAAAAAAATTCATAATAAAATTTTGAAAATAGTTTCAAAAACAATTTTCTAATTTCAAAAATAAAATTGAAAAAACAATATAAATAAAAAATTGAAAAATAATAAAAAATACGAATCTGAAAACAGATAATCCAAAAATATATAAACATATTTTAAATATTTAATGTTTTAATTTTAATTTTTATATATTTATTTATTTAATATCTGTATATTTAAAAAATAAGGGGTAGAAAAAAAAATTGTTTCTTTCATAAAACATCTTTTGATCATTTTTTCCGTAGAAAACTATTTTTGTGAGAAAATTTAAAAATATACTATTTGAGAAAAAGTGAATATTTAATAATTACATATTATAATTTATTACATAAAATGATATATCGTCATAAAATTTTTCTTTTGTCATCTGTAATTTATTAATGAGTCAAATGTCCAAAATGAACAAAGCCCAACAAATTATAAAACATAAAGTAGTACAATATCGATTAGTTATTAGTTATGAGTGAAAAATATTTTATTATTAGATATTACGAATTATTACATAAGCAGATATATGCGTCATATATTGAGAAAGTACAAAGATAAGTCATTTAATTGTTTTATGCCGTTTTAGAATTCTAGAAAGAACATCCCCTATATATTATTTGAGAATCATTTAAAAAGTTGCAACCTTAAGTTTGTAAGAATTAAAAATAACTTCAATCCTACGTGGCATAACTCTTTGGCTTCTATTTCAAATCCCAAGGATTCTAGAGCATGTGATATAATGTATAGTTTAAAAATTATATTCTCTAGCAATATAATATTCCGTAGACTATAATTGGTCGTATATATCAAATATTTATTGTTTCACATACTTTCCTTAAACAAAACCTACGGAATTACCTAATGTGATTAAAATATATATATGACAATTAATGATTTTAAACAATAAAGATTTGATAACAATCTGTATACTTTTTTTCATTTTGTTTATTTCTTTATTATTAAAACAAATTACACAATTAAATTAATCATATAATAAAAATCTAGATTTTTTTTTGTGTATGTTGTATTTCGAATTTTTCAAATGAGTATAAATTACTAAAACTGTTAAAAGTCTCACATAAACGTTTAAGATTAAGGTTTTAATTTTTTTTTTGTATACTAAAATATAATGAATATAAGACCATATGAAGAAATAATTTTAGTTTATATATATTTCCTATCATTTTAATTAAACTATACATCGTATGAAAATACATACTTATATTTTGATATTTTCCTTGAATATATATTGAAAAGCTAATATTTTAATTTTGGAATATGTCATTTGTTTTTTTTTAAAATGATTATAAATTATTGAAACTACTAAACATCTCACATTAAAAAAAAAATAGTTGGTGTAAAGTTTTGTTACACAAGCAAATAATCATAAAATCATATGAGTAGAAACCTCATTTAATAGATATCTATATTAAAAGTGTGCTATATTACTATGTTTATATCATTTAAATTTAATTATATATCATATACAATATATAAGATTTATTATTTTGATTTATTTACCCTAATTGTGAATAAACAAGAGTAATAGTTAAATTTATATGCATACGCCAATTTATTACATAATAGTAACTGATTTCTTAGTTATTTAATATATATTTATTATTTTATTATTTATAATATGCAGAAAAATATAAAATAAACAATAAATATAAAATACTTATTGTGCATAAAGTGCAGATCTTAACCTAAATATGTATCTCTTTAATTATTTTAAATCTTAAGTATTTTCTAAATTTCATGTCAAAACAAACAAACGAAATGAGAATAAAATTCAAAATGAATATTTATATCGAGTAATAACCAAAATATAAAAAAACATAGCAAGAGAAAAATGGTAGATAAATAGGATTGACACGTGAACGTAAACTTCTCATAACCATAATTAATTTTTAAATTGTTAAATCATGATATAAAACTGAGTTAATTTTTAATTTGTTAATTTGTTAATTTTTTAATTTTTTAAATCATTATGGTTATGTTAAATCATGACCATAATTAATTATAAATTGTTTATTTGTATTTGAAAAACTTAAAATATTGTTTTTAAAAATAATTTAAAATTTAACATAATTTTTTATAAAATTATTTTTAAAAATAATAATTTTTAAAAAATAGAATTTTCTAATATTATTAGACAAATAAATAAATTATATTAAATTAGTTTTGAAACTTTATATATTTTAAATGCAAATATTTTACCAATTGCTTCTTAAAAAACATTAGGAAACTTGCTAATACTCTACCAATCAAGTCCAGTGACACTCCATTTATTTTCCATCACTCGAATAGTGAAAAGATATATGAAATAAGATCCATTAAATTCTAAGATTTGATCTACATTTCTAATTAAAATTGTATGTGATCATACGTATAGATAATTATATAAAAATTCCAAAATTATAAAATTTCAAATACATACAAAAATAATCATAAATAAATTTTATATTTTAATTACATATATTCATCCTGCGCAAGTCGCATGTCTTATCCTAGTGTATATGTTAAAAGGTACAGAGGATATATACAACTATGTGAAACATATTTTAAATGCTATCCCTAAAATAATTTTCATAAGCCTTTCTGAATCTCTCTACGGCGTCATGAGATGGGAAGAGGGGACGATTTTCGATGAATGAGCGCAAACACTTGGTAGAGCAGAAACAACTACCGGTATATCTTTTAATGAAAACCAGTTCGTCTTGACAAAGACTTCGGCATTTATGACAAGACCGACGATCAGCAGCAGAACCCTTGTTTGACACAATATCAACCTCAACACCATTCATTTCGATCTTACGGCCAGGCTTCATATAGGGATGTTTCCCTAATAGGCACTCAACATGTACAGTGGTGCAGCAAGCGTCGCACATGTAGATTAATAGATTTGTTTTCGTCATTTTCTCTTCGCACATCTCACACCATAATGACGAAGATGGAGTCGCTAAAGAAAGGGTGAGTGGATGAGAATCATAGCTGCATTTTAACAATCGTCCTGGTAAAGTTGCGCATCTCAAGTCTAAAGAGAAATAGCAATAAGGATCAGAACAAAGAGCAATAACTGTTGAAGATAAGCTACCACCACAACCCATACATTTTTTATATGGATTTGACGACGACCCGTTATCAAACTGTTGTTCCAGAGAGAGAGGATGTTGGTGGGCTGTATGGTTGAATGGCTCGACAAAGGAAGCACATTTCACATCCATGTAAAACTCACAATCCTCTCTGTAACATCGATACATGAAACCACAAGAGTCTTGATTACATACGGAGCACGTGAAGACCCCTTCTTTGATTTTCCTTGTGATGCCTTCTAGGATCAGTGGATGACGATGTAACATATGTTCTATCCTCAGAGGAAGACGTCCACACGTGTCATGTAGAGAAAAGCCGCATTGCTTGCAATACAAGAAACTTCCCATATCAACTGGAAGGATGCAAGATTGACATACCTGGCCGCCGCTCATCTTCTCTTGCGCAGCATCATCACCGTGGTGGAGTCTCGTTAGCTTGTGATTGTGGCTAAAATGGTCTATTGCGATACCATCAATCTCAACGTGATCATCATCATCAAGTTGCGGCATGAACACAATCCCGGGTACTTGTTTGTCCCACACTTCGCTCCTCGTCGCACAAAATGCATGGGCAACATAATCACAACTTGTCTCACGGCAAGTATATACTTTATAATTTTCAGAAATACTTTCCCGACAAATTTTACAATATTTTCCACCAGTAATAAAAATAAGATAGAGAAGGTGTAAGTGACGTGTGATCTTTATATTCTTGGGTAAGAAAATGCAGTTTCTGTGTACAAAGAAATCGCAAGGCACACATGTGTACATATTTATTTTATCTTTACCGACCAGCCCACAAACATCACAAACAACTGAGATTTGTCTGCGAATGAAGAAAAGGGGATGTTGATGGGCGTCTGTCTTATGATCTATTGTGAGACAGCTCTCGTGAAAATGAGATTGACAGGTACGGCAATGGAATGTAGTAGATCCAGCATGTATTTTTCCATCTTGGAAAAATGATTCAGAATGTATTTCCTCTTCACAAAGATTGCAAACTGTTTTGTTTTCTATGTTGTATCTTTTCTTTTCGAGGAAGTGTCTTGGGTGATCTTTCGTGTTGAATTTCATGGTGGGCGACGTGTTTATGTGTATGGATTTGGATATAATCGAACTGAGATTAATGAGTCAATCGTTATGTTCAAACGACGACTTAGTTTAAAGTTTGATCTCTACTATCTATATCATTTGAGGTTAAATACTTATATTATTTATTCGTTTCTTTTAGGTACATCAAAGAAAAGGATATCTTGGATCGGCTGTACAATGCTTGTTCCAAGAGCAAAGTTATCATTTATACTTTATACAGGGACTCGTATAAATGAAACTGGTGTCCAAAGTTTAGTATCTATGATCAATTGTAAGTAGTTTGTGTTTTAGAATCAGTTATTTCGAGAAAAACAACAAATTTTGTTCAGCTGTACAACAACTTGTCATAATATCATAGCTATCAAGGTGTTTGTCTATTTAATCATATATAGTATAGAATATCAATTTTACAGTATTGTCTATACAAATAAATGAATAATATTTCATTTAACATATATGATCCACTCCATTTACATATGCACTGCACAGTTACATGTAAATAAGAATCTATTCATTGAGTTTCAAATTTAATCATAGGTGCTATCAGTCATAAGTAGAGTTAAGATAAGCAATTAAGTAGTATGAAATCTACGAATGTATGGTTAGGACATCATATATAGGGCTGGGAATTTTCTTTGTTAAATTTGATTCGACTCGTTATTCGTTTCGATTTTATCCGAAAATTCGGTTATCCGTAAACTTTCGAAGCAAATCAAATAGTAAAAAATTAATATTCAATAAAATCGAAGTAAATCACAAATATTAAAATTTTGGATATCCGATCCAATCCGACAATATATAAATACATGTATATCTTAACTATATTTGAAGTTTTAAATATATAAAATTATATAATTATTATTCTAACAAATAATTTGATAAATTATATTCACATTATTACTTGTATAAAAGTATTACATAAAAGGAAGAGAAAACATTTATGACGATTATAATTTTTTCTTAAGTTTTATGTTATTATAATTTTTAACTAAGTTTAAAATTTTTATAAAATATGTAGATTCACTTATTCTTTTAAATGTTATATATCATGCAAAAATATATTTTCCAAAACAAATTTATATCAAATTTTTAAAATTATTTGTATTAATCAAAAGAGATGAGATATCCGTAAGTGTTCGTAAATATCTGAAAATATCTATCTATTTTCCGAATATCCGTTTCTGGATATCCGTATTTTTCCGAAGCAAAGTAAATCGGAAAATTATATATCCATAACATACGAAACAATCACAAATACGCTCAAAAACCTGGATATTTGATCCGTGCTCATGCCTAATCATACATGCGACAATGAAAAGCAGAACCCGACTCAAATGTTTATAACCTAATACAATGAACCGAACATATGTTACAAGAAACTAAAAAACAGATCTAAAATAGAGATCATTGACTCTCGCTCTCTCTCAAGAAGTCAGATGTCCAAGCTGTTCTGTAATTGCATTTACATTCTTCGAATTCCACCAACATTTCTCACTTTGATCTTCAGCTTTATCTTCCTTCCTCTCTGGTTGACCTTGCCGTTGCTCGGCTGAGCCAGGATTCTCTGTCAAAAACTGCTGCCAGAAGACATCATTCACTCCTGCTGCTGCCGGAGGAGGAGGAGGAGGAGCAACAATGTTCTGTTCTTTTGAAATATCAGGCTCAGAGTTCATGTCGATGGTCCTTGGAGAAGGAGGAGGAGATTTAGGACATATGTCTATACTTAGCTGTATGCAAGAAAGAGGAGGGCTTTCAGGACAAGTAGACGATTCATCCACATCAAGTGTCATCATGCTTCTTGTTGATTGTTCCATGCCCTCACAAGATTCATCAGATACAAGATTCTCCCAAACCGCTATTGATGACTCTAACTGTTCCACCTGATGTTCTGTTTCATCTGAATGGCTCGTTGAACCTTCCTCTCTCACAACAACACTTGTCTGGTTATCTTCCAGCATCCTAGGGAGTCTTCTTTTCCTCTCGTTCGTCTCCGGTAGACACGGGGAGAGGTTCAGAGCAAGATCTGGTTTGTCCAACGCCTGAGAGACGTAAGAAGCCATTGTCTTCTGACGCTTCTCCATGTGTTGTAACTGATCTTTTAGCATCTTAACTTGTTGCTCAAACAGTTCTCGTTCTTGCTCTTGTTTATGTAACTCTTGAAGCAACCCTTCTTTCTCCTTGGTCAGTCTCTCGATCTGGTTACTCATTCTCTGCCGTTCTGAATCGGTCAACGGGTTCTGTTGACCTTGGAGGTTAGGTAGAGAGTGGCTGTGAACAGGTTTGCGTCTATGAATGTTCTTCATGAGATGAGGTTGACCTCTCACGAAATCATCATTCGCAAACTCCCACTGCTCAGGATCAGCTTTTCTAAAACCCTACATAGATATAAGTCCCAACTAAACTTGAACCACAAGGAAGATTATTTGATTTAGGTTAAGAGAAACAGAGCGATAACTTGACACTTACGTATGTGTTAAGCTGACGGATGAAGCTAGAGAAGTTGTTGTGCTTGAAGAATCTAGGAAGAAGGTCTCTGGAAAACTCTGGTGGGTTCCAAACGATGAAGCTTCGGTTGCTCTGACTCCACGAGACGATTGAATCAGATGAGGAGTCATCAACCATCTCGTATGTTTTGGTGAGGAATGGTGGGAGTGAGCTTGATGAACCTCCATGATTACTCTCATCCATCTCTAGTAGCTTCAAGAGCAGAACAAAGAGACTCTTGTTATCAACTATAAGCTTCAACTTCAAGAACCAAAAGATAAAAAGAGCTTTGAACTTTAACAAAGTGAGAGAGGAATATCTTAAACCCAACACTGTTTAGTAATGAAAGCAAGAAGCTTCTTAAAACCCTTAATGAAATTCAACGAATCTAGACACCTTTTCGTATTAAATCAGAGAGAAAAAAACAAACTTTGCTTCTGGAAAACTCTATGCTTCTCGAACACAAAAACAAAACAAAAAAGCTTCTGGACTTGTGGTAATTATTCAGACAGAGAAGTTGAAACAGTTTGTCTTCTTCTTATGGATCTCTCAACCGACGAAAAGTAAACCAGCCGATTGACCAGCTCATTCAATAAGAAGAAAAGTCAAAGGTCTCGTTCATTATGATTGATATTAAAAAACTACGCGTAGTAAGATTGCTTTTTGAGATACCAAAAGGTACGAGTCGCAACGCAAGGCCGCCCAAGCTTGCAGAATGCAGAGATTAGGTTTGGTGGAACTTTTATTTATTTATATTGTATTTTCTTTTTTTTATAAAGTACGTAACCCATGACTTGACCCAAGAAAAAAAAAAAGGTACGTAACCCATGAGCTATTTTTTTAATATATACTGTATTTTTTAATTATATATCAAGTCAATGAAATGTATCAACGAAAAATCATACAGATCTTGTTTGTGTATGTAGAAGCATTTGTGACCGTAAGAAAATTCCTCGTTATCTTTTGGGATTTATTAATAAAGAAAGTCTTTTGGGATTTATGATAAAGAAAGTCTTTTGGGATTTTTGAAGGCACAAAATCGAAAAGTTCTAAAAGATAAAAATCGAAAAGTCTCACTTGAATATTCAAATGAGATAGTTATTACTCCCTCTGTTTCAATATAAGTGTCACTCTACAGCTATTCACACAGATTAAGAAAACAATTAATTTTACATATTTCCTATATAAAAACACAATTACCCATACACCTAACCATATTTTAACCAATAGAAAAACAAATTACATAATAAAATTAATAAATTTTGCATTGAAAACCGAAAACGACACTTATTTTGTAACACAAAAAATTCTCTACAACGACACTTAATATAAAACGGAGGGAGTAGTATTTAATGTCTTTTTTTCTGTGCAAATTTTTTTTTTATGTTTAGTGACTATTGGTGTACTTAGAACATCATTAATACAGATTTCTTTGGTAAAATTTTTAGCAGAATGTAAAAAAAATTGTTTTTAGTTTTTAAATGAGAAAAATAAGAAATAGTTTTTAAATAAAAGATTTAAAAATTGTTGTCTCAGTTAAAAGTTAAGAAACATTTTTTATATTCCTCTAAAAACTCCACTTTAAGAAATTTGTATTAATTTTAGTTTTTCACACTTTTTAATAAACACACAATAAATTTGCATAAATTTTTGTATTTATCTTTTTCATAATTTTAAATCAATAAAAAATCAATTAGTACAATTAAGCTTTTTGAAGTTTACAAATAGTTAATGAAACATTCATTGAAAATGTAAAAAATGGATATTTTAGAAATAATTTTTTTATAATATGTATCTTTAAGGAATAGAGAGAGTATTAGTTTTCGATGAAGTCATGAAAGCAATAAAAGGGATATACTCCCTCCGTTTCATATTAAGTGTCGTTGTAGAGAACTTTTTGCGTTATAAAATAAGTGTCGTTTTTGGTTTTCAATGTAAAATTTATTAATTTTATTAAGTACTTAGTTTTTCTATTGGTTAAAATATGGTTAGGTGTATAGGTAATTGTGTTTTTATATAGGAAATATGTAAAATTAATTATTTCCTTAATATGTGTGCATAGCTGTAGAGTGACACTTATAATAAAACAGAGGGAGTATTATTGAACTGAATATAGTGAAAATACAGTTTTGTTAGTTACGGGTCAACTTTAATTATTTACCTTGTGAATTATTGCATTGTATGTCGTTACACTAAAATAATTGCATAGTGGTAAAAGAGTTTAAAAAGGTTGGTTAGATGTGTATTGATGCTTCAGTATTGTCTATTCATCTATGATCTATATGTTGAAATAAGCTCCTGAAAGACATGCAAAAACGTAGATGCAACCCATTAGTAGATTTGCATTTCGTGAGAAAAATAATAATGTAAGTTTGTGTTTAGTATACAGAAAAAGCCGGATTTGAACCCGAAAATATTAAAGCATCAAATAGATCTCGATTCTTATTAAGACACTTGTTCATATTAAAGCAGTCGATTGATGTATGCAGTAGGACCTCGAACCTATAAAATTATATGTTCTTTAGTAACTATTGTTGTACCTGTACGGGTTGTACATATCACGCCTTCATGGAGGTGAAATTAAATTTTATTAAGTGTATACTTACGTACGTGCTTAGTTCACTGTCCCGTCTTGACGTCTCCAGAATTTAATTTAAATTGTTTTCAGTTAGAAATCTCTGTTATAATATGAACTTCCGATAAAACAAAAAGTACTTATTAAAAAAGCATTTAATGTACATACAAATAAAAAGGATAAGCATGCAACATAACGTGTTTATTTGGTTGTTTTCCGTAGTACAGCTTCTACAAGGAAATAATACTAGATTGTTTGATACGCTGGAAATATTGTTTCAGCTTTGTAGTCCGGCTTTTGGAATCGGAAAGAGTCGGGTGAAGTGTCTCCTTTCATTTATCAACTCATGTTACCTTAGTCAGATAGATACACATATTAGGTAACGTATGTGTAATTGATAACTTATGTACACGTCCATATAACACAGAGAAACACACACATATATAAAGACACAAAGACAAGTCTGGCTAATACTAGCCGTGCCACCAGGTAATATAAATAAAATCGCTTACAGCATCATTTCATATAGAAAAATCTGGAGGCCTAGTCAGGAGTGAGATAATTGGTTAAGTTGTAAACATCTCATACTTATTTAGGATTTGATAATATATATAGAAGCAGCTTATATGACACTTCAAACATCATTGTAGATGTCCCTAGACTTTTATGTGTAGGGGCAAGACCCACAATCTTTATTACCAATGCAAATGTTGATCAACTAAACCATCATAAATATTAGAGATGCAATGGATCATAGTAAGAACATGGAAAATAGCTGATGTGAGGCTTGAGAAAGCGGTGGCCCGCCATTTTAAAAGAGATGATAGAGAATCATCTCAAGTCTTTCTTTTCTATTGTGATTGTGGTTATTGTGTTTGTTGGTGCGGTGTAATCATCGATTAATGTTCAACCAGATCAATTAGCAAGTTTTATAGGTGCAATATGATCAGTTTATATGTTTTTTAATATACGATATTTTCATTTTTGTCTAACAATTAGAAAATGATGCACCATGTTTTAGTAAAAATAATAATGTCAAAAGAGCTCATATACTACTATTTTAATACTTGGATTAAACAGAAAAAGAAAGTAATTAACGGAAACAAAATAAATAAAAAAGCAAACGAGTCACGAGCAGTGACAAGTTGATAGGAAGCAGATCGGGAGCATCACGTGACCCACCCGATTTAACGGTCATGATTAGATATGAAAACTAATTTCTGGTCCCTACCAAACGAAAGGTGACCTGTCACAGTCCTCAAGATGCCACAATCTCTGCCACGTATCATGCATTCACATTAAGTTTAGTTAATTAACTAAAATTAATTATTTGAGCTATATATAATCTTGATTAGTACTAACCTAATACGTTTTCTATTATAGTCCCTCTTTAGATATGTATGGATAGTCCATAGTTGGAAAACTGCTGTCACTGAATAAAAAAAAGTATTAAATAATATAAAAAAATCAAATCTATGATATACAAAATAAAAATAGCTATTATAAAAGCAGCATGATTTTCTTGACTTTTTGTTTAGTCTCAGAATAAAAAGCATACAACTGTTCAACCAAACAAAAAAAGCCCAAAAAAATCTTCACAATGTACACAAACCGGCGTCGTTTTATGGTCAAACAGAGTTTCTATTTTCTCACTTTATTAAAAAAAGCCTGAGCACGTGTTAACACATAAGGGGTAATACTTTGTAAATTACAGTATACTTGTGTGGTAATTTCGCCTTTTCACACTTATACCCCCACCCTGGTAAGTGCTTCTTCATTTATTACTCACACCACAACAAGGGGAGAAAAATATACTCAAAGAAAGAAAAAAAAAAGAAAGCGCCAAATTAGTTTCCTCCGACGAGTTTTTCTCTCTATCATCAGCTAACAGAAAATTCCGGTGATCGGAAGATGACTTCAGGGACCAGAACACCGACGTGGAAAGAGAGAGAGAACAACAAACGGCGAGAGCGGCGAAGACGAGCGATTGCGGCTAAGATCTTTGCGGGGCTTAGGATTCATGGGAACTTCAAGCTCCCGAAACACTGCGATAACAACGAAGTTCTCAAAGCTCTCTGCAATGAAGCTGGTTGGACCGTTGAAGAAGACGGAACTACGTACCGGAAGGTATTAACCAAAAAACTCAATCCCCCAACACTTTTTCAATATGATAACTGTGAATAGATAGATCTGAAGCTTTCTATATGGTTAGAGAAAACGTAAATTTTAATGATGCAAATAATCGGACGGTTGGGATTTAACTTTGACTGGTTTAGTGGTCATGGCAAACGTCAGATCGAAACCGTTCTGGTGAACTGAAACAAAAGCATGAATGTTGTGTAAGATTCGCTGATGCGTAACACTCTCTGTTCACTTTCAGACCAGAATATTGTATTACTTAATGACTTAGTTACCCTTAGCTAATACACGTCTAGCAGATATCTACCTAGGTATTGTCGTCATTTTACCATCAGTTCGTTTTTTTTCTCGTGAGGTTAGTATAAAAATGTCGTAATACCTTTATTATTTTTTTGATTTTGAGGAATTTTCTTTTTGTGTTTTTCTTTGGTCGTCATCTTTTGCTTTAATGAAAAACTCTATAGGACACGTCTGTTTCACGAAACTTACCATTGATAATGTGTTTGGATTCCTTAGTACAACGATCGAGGAAGACTTTAATCATCTTTTCTCACATGGGATCTTTTTCCTTTTCAGACTGATGCTTTCTCTGAAATTCCTATTTTCTATTTTGTCTGAAAGTAAAATTTTCTCGACAAACCTTTTTCCTTTGTTTGCTTATTATGTTCACACCAAAGTTCACATTGACATTAAAAATAAGTTAATTAACTTTCCAAGAAATACCTTTTATTTAGAAATACAGCTGTTGTTTTAGTAATGACATGAAAACAAACTCTACGCTATCAAGAGAATTAACAAAGGGAACATTGCTAAAAAGAGACAAAACAAACTTTAGTTTTGTTCTTTTTTTTTTTTTGGTCAAAACTTTAGTTTTGTTGTAATACTATAACTTTAGTACTACTTAATAAAAGGACCCCGTGTGATTACAATAAATTCCACGAGTGTTTATTTGTTGTTTGTTTAAATATTTAAAATCAATAAAATTGTCGTGATTCTTGTTTAATCAGTCAATGGATGTGAGATTTTGAAAATGATTTCTCTTTAGCCAACACCTATGATGATGTTTGGATTTTGCTTGTGTGCGGGGGAATAAAAGATAAAATGGAATTATTCATTGGTTGACCACTAAATGCCAAATAAATCATTGTTCCTTTACCTTTTATTCTTTTTAGTTGCATTTGGATTTTCAAATTTATCAATCATAGTGTCATCTTGTTCGTGCTCACCAGCTTAGCCATTTGCTAAAAAGAACATGTCAAGCTCTCTTTTACGTAATTAATTCCATTAGCAAGTAGTATTGTTCTTTGACCACATTATAAACCAAACATAATCATTGTTTTATGTTTTCTTGGTGTATTTGGGGTTTCAATTATCAAATCATAATGTCATTTTGTCCGTTGCTTTTGCGTTTAGTAATAAGGGTAAAAAACATTTTTAACTCTCTCTTGTGTAATTAATCCACTAGCTAAAGAGTGTGCTATGGTATGCTTTGGTTATATGTTTGTGATGTTGAATATATATACTCTTGTGTAGGGATGCAAACCAATGGATCGAATGGAGCTAATGAATGGTTCCACTTCAGCGAGTCCATGCTCATCTTACCAACCAAGCCCACGTGGTTCCTACAATCCAAGCCCTTCATCATCCTCATTCCCTAGTCCTACAAACATATTTGGTGACGCTAACTCACTAATCCCATGGCTCAAGAACCTCTCTTCAAACTCACCTTCCAAGCTTCCCTTCTTCCACGGAAACTCCATAAGCGCTCCAGTGACTCCACCACTGGCTCGAAGCCCTACTCGTGACCAAGTAACCATCCCTGAATCTGGATGGCTCTCTGGAATGCAAACCCCACAGAGCGGACCGTCCTCTCCCACTTTCAGCTTAGTCTCGAGAAACCCGTTTTTCGACAAAGAGGCTTTTAAAATGGGAGATAGTATCTCACCAATGTGGACTCCAGGACAAAGTGGAAACTGCTCTCCAGCTATTCCTGCTGGCGTTGATCAAAACGCCGATGTGCCAATGGCTGATGGAATGGCGGCAGAGTTTGCGTTTGGAATGGTGAAGCCTTGGGAAGGAGAAAGGATACATGGAGAATGCGTTTCAGATGATTTGGAACTTACACTTGGCAATTCAAGAACCAGATGATGAGTTCAGAGAAGAATCAACGTCCTTTGCTATCAAACAACTCTCTTTTCGAAGTAGTTCATCTTTTACTTTTTCTTTTCATCTTTGTTTGTCTGTTTTTTTTTTAAACTAGTGTGATGATTAAAGGTGATTGAGAGAAAAAAAAAAAGAAAAGGAAAAAAAAGAACATTTTGGAACTATGTTTTTTTCTTGTTGGCTTTTGACCAAAGTTGTAGTTAGTATAATTTTGTCTCTCCAAGTTTTGTTTATTTTATAATTATAGTGGGTTATTTATATTAGAGGCAAATTGGACTTTGATACACCATTTTGAACGTGAAAAATAGTTAGCAATCTGTCTTTGAAAATTTTGTTTTTTTTTGTTTTTGTTTTTGTTTTTACATTTAGAAGACAACAGCAAACTAGATTATTATGTTTAAAAATCAAAGATATATATGTACACGAAGCCGTACGTTACCTAATAAAAAAGTCAATGAACAATGACGACCACATGTGGCTGATATTTGTAACTAACGTGACAATATGATTTAGGACCGCAAAGTACATTGACTTCAGCGTAACTGTCGTAATACTGACTGTTATGTACAATGTCCAATTGCAAAACATCACTGAATTTCTTAATGGGCTAACAATTGGGCCCATATATAGATGCAACTATATCCATCCATACGCATTATTCCGATTAAGGTCTAAAATTGAAAATTAAAATAGTTCAGGGGGTATAATGAAATTTCTCCTTAATTTTGGTTTGTTTCTTCTTCACAGCTTGAGCGCCGCTTCCTCTAAAAAAACAATCCTCAGAAGCAAGTCTTTGATTGCTAAACCCTAAACCTATACAAAACCCTTCGTTCTTGGCCGTGTCCTTCTCTCTCTCCCAAGCAATTTACGTAAACGTAAGTTCTCTTTTGATTCCTTCTCAAAGGTCTTAACTTTTCATCAAGTTAATATCGAAAAAACTTGATTGCAATGTCGTAAATGACCCAACTTTGTCATGGGTTTTGATCAATTAACGTAAAAATCAACACTTTCGAGGTGCCCCTGTATCCAATAACCAGTTTTGATGAAGATTCAGTGTTTTGGTTTTGCCATTTTTTTTTTGCAGAATGATAACTGCAGTTTCATGGATACCTAAAGGGTCTTTAAAGGCTGTTCCTGATGCTGCTGAGCCTCCTTCAAAGGAAGAGATTAAAGAGCTTATTGAGAGTGGAGCTTTTGTGGGGAGGTGACTTGTTTTATTTCTGTGATTTAGGAGATGAGGAGATGATAATGTGAGATTAGTTTTGCTTGTTAACAGTGTGGATGGTAGTAATGAGGATGAATATGAGATAGATGAAGAAGAAGAAGATGGAGATGAGATTAGTGAAGTTGATCGTGCCAAAGCTGTTGCAGAAGCTTTTGGTAAATCTTCCAATAGCAAATCTTCCTCTATGGAGGTTGATGAGATGTCTGCTGCAATGAAAGAACTCGACATGGATAACTATGATGAAGAGGATGATGGTACGTTTGCCTCGTTCTGTTTGTTCTGCAATTATAGAGCTGGTCATTTTGGTACGGAACTGAGTTTTGGGGTATTGTTTCATATTTTGTTGTTGTTGTGATGGACTTAGGAATTGAACTCATCAGCTCTGGAATTGGGGATCTTTATTATGCAAGTAATGAGTTGGATCCATATCTGAAGGATGCTGCTGTAAGATTATAGCACTGTTTCTGTTTAATTTGGAACTTTTTTTGGTTCAAATTTTTTTTTGTTTGGAATATTAAGGTTTGGATTTTTTAGGATGATGAAGACGATGAAGAGGATATTGATGATACAACAATCAAGCCAACTGATTCAGTGATTATCTGCGCTAGGAACGAAGATGAAGTCAGTCATCTAGAGGTCTGATTAATCCTTCTTGCTTTAATTTGGTTAAATGTTGAAGATTAGGGCTTATATGAAAGCTATATATATGTATGACCAGGTTTATGTGTACGAGGAATCATCGGGTTCACCAAACATGTATGTTCATCATCACATAGTTATACCGGAATTCCCATTGTGTACTGCTTGGATTGATTGTCCACTTAAAGGAGGGGACAAAGGTTAGTGTACTCTTATATCATTCACCTGAGGGGTAGGATACTTCATTATTGCTATCATTTTTACTCTGTTTGTTTGGCATTGGCAGGGAATTTTGTAGCTATTGGATCAAAGGAAACACCGACAATAGAGATATGGGATCTTGACGTTGTATGTAAACGTGACCGTCCTTTTATTAATTGTTTGCTCTAACTAATCAACCATGAGAGTACTGATAAGGTTACTATAATGACTTAGAGGGATGAGGTTCTCCCTTGTGTACAACTGGGAGGAATAGAGGAGATGAAGATTGTTAAGAAAAAGAAGAGTAAGAAAGAGAAGATTAAGAAGCCGGTATGACCACATCAGTCTCGTCCGTTTATTGTTCTTCTGAACTTTTCATGGCAAGTTCTGTTGTATCCATTCATTTAATTTTGTGCTCTTTCTCTTTTTTCCTTTTTAGAAATACAAAGAAGGAAGCCACACTGATTCAGTACTTGGTCTTGCTTGGAACAAGGAGTTTAGGTATGTTTAAGGATTTACTAATTGAAGTTTTCTCTCTAGACATGTCTGATTTTTGTTTTGAATATTATTTGGGAAAAAGGAATATACTTGCTAGTGCTAGTGCGGACAGAAAGGTTAAGGTGTGGGATGTGGCTACTGGACAATGTAAAATCACTATGGAGCATCACACAAAGGAGGTATGAACATGAAACTCTATGGAATTGTCAACTTTTTATTCTGTTGCATATATTATCATGGTTTATAGTTTTTTTTAATGGTTGACAGGTTCAAGCGGTTGCCTGGAATCATTATGCTCCAGAAGTGCTTCTCAGTGGCTCATTTGATCAGACTGTTGTATTGGTAACTTCTTTGGTCCATGTTCTACTTTATCTTTTACTGAGAGTTATCATTAATATGAGTTTGTATATTACGTTGCAGAAAGACGGAAGACAACCTTCACATGCGGGTTTCAAATGGTCTGTCATGTCTGATGTCGAAAGCTTAGCTTGGAATCCCCACAGCGAACACTCCTTTGTGGTGAGTTACACTTTGTTTTTACTCTTATAGTTGAGAATATTCTGTTATAGAAGTTCTTAACATTTTCCTATTAATTAACCTACTCTCTTAGGTAAGTCTTGAGGATGGAACCGTGAAAGGTTTTGATATACGAGCAGCACAGTCAGGCTCAGATTCTGATTTAAAACCAAGTTTCACTATCCAAGCACATGACCAAGACAAAGGGGTCTCGTCCATCTCATACAACATTTCTGCACCCAATGTACATCATCTCCTGACATCCTTTATAGCATTTCTTTTTTCTATAATCAGTTCTCACCATTTATGAGCTGTAATTTACAGCTTTTAGCGACGGGGTCTATGGATAAAACGGTAAAACTTTGGGATCTTTCAAACAATGAGCCTTCATGCATTGCTTCACACAAACCAAAAGCTGTAAGAACCAATCAACATAATAAACTCTGTTTTGCTCCCTCAGTAGTTTCTGCTTATTTATTCCTTACTATTCTGATTATGTCACCAGGGAGCTGTATTCTCCATTTCCTTCTCAGTGGACAACCCTTTCTTGCTTGCTATTGGTGGCTCAAAGGGAGAGCTACATGTGAGTAGAGACTAATACAAGAAAACTAATACAAAATCACATTTTATTGGGAAATTTAACTTATCTTGTTTGTGCCTATGTTTTTACAGGTTTGGGATACACTATTGGACGCTAATGTCGCTCGCAAATATGGGAGCAAACAGTCTTGAAAAGTCCACAAGGATCTCTTTCACTTGTTTCTTTGAAGTCGCCGTTGGGATGGTGGTCGTTGGATCTGATCACACTCATGCCAAAGTTTTGCAGTTTCTTTTCTGTTTTTTTTTTCGTCAGGTTGGTTTTGTCTCCTATGACTATGGAATCGTGTAAGGGTGTGTGTGTGAACTTTATCTGTCGGTTGAATCTTAAGATTAGCTGAGCCTTTTTTCAACTTATCAAGAAAGTGTGTTTTGAGACTTTGGATTTGTATACAAACTAATCATGCTATATTCATGTAAACCCTAGACAATAGAACGCACTTCAATTCGATAGTTGAAGAAGGAACGGACAAATAAAATAGGGAACCGTGATTAGGTTAATAGTACTAACGACTTATACGACAGTAGTAGGTAGTTAATTTCAACATACAAATTAAAGAACACAGCAACGTCTAGTAAACAAAGTCGTTGTCTGCCACAAAACTTATGAAATCTCAACTAACTCTTGTTATCTTTATGACTAAAAGAGTCAAAAAGCCTGAGATCGTAACGAAATCCAGATTTGGTAATGTCTGTAACTTAATATATCCGTAGCATTTAAAATGCATAAAAAAATATGAAGCCATACTTCAAAATTCAATTTTTCAAGGAAACAACAAGTTTTTGTATTGTTATTACTGAGAACAATAATTTTTTCTTCTTCTTCTAGTAGTGATCTTTTAGGAAAAAACGTAAGCAAAATATAATAAAATTGGTCGCATGTATCATGTAAATAAAACTTGGTGTACTTCTTTGATGAGTTACTAATCAAGTAACAGTCGATTTTATAATCATAATTTAACAAACCCTGATTTTCAAAAGGAGTCTATTTTTTTCTTTCTATAAACACTCATAAAGTCATATGGGAATGGGATCTCTGTTGAAGGTAAACGTAAATAGTGGGAGGTTAGAGATTCTGCATGCGCATTGGAAAATATTGTAATCATCCAAGTCACTTCTTTAAAGTACACATTTTCGTTAATATGGTTCATCATTAAATTCATAACTATAAGAACCTTTTTATTATTGCTAAGTTAATTTCAGACTAATGTTCAAAAAGATTAAAGTTTTTCAGACTATTTAACTGAAACTTTCAAACTCGATGGACATATTAGTCAAAGTCTCGGTTTAAACGAAACCTGTGCATCGTGTCAATGACAATATTATTAGTTATCTACTTGACCAATAACACTAGATCGTGATATGGGTAATATTTAGTAGCGGCCCTGAGTACAAGTAATACAAGCATGTGCTTCCGGCCCTAATTAGATTATCAAAATTTTTGGTTTTTAAATTGTCATTATCTTTGATAGCGTAGTTGGTTTAAGGCTGGGTTTGTTGTATGACCTGTGTCAAATTCGAGGTGTATTAGTTACATTATTTTAATTAATAAACCCAATTATTTTTTTTGCTTCCGGTCCATATTTTCTTCGGGCCAATTAGTATTGAGATTTCTGTGACATAGTTATCAACTTATCATGAACTCGACACGACATTTGCAGTGAAAATATCATTTCTTTTTCCTAACTTTCTTCGCTCATAATTCCGTTGATCTGACGACATTTTCCGCTCCAGCTTTATCAATTTATTTCTTGACATTGTAGGCTAACCCATCTTTTTTTTTTTTTGCAAAACCTTTTGTGATCTTTATTATTTTCTTGAAGTGGCTCTCATCAATTTCATTATGTGACGTACGTCTATCTTTTTAAGTTTCCCATTTAAATAAAGTTTGCATAACCTAAAATTTTGTGTGGTCCATTTGATACTAACATTTTTAGGTGTCTCAACATCCGTCATCTGATCGGACTTGGAGGGATGATCGCAATGTCCGAGTATCAAAGATTTATAGAATTCCGTAATATGGAGTATTTAGTTTAGAAATCAGGATATTAGCATCCTCAATGGCGAAAACAATGTTAATTTTTTATTATGATTATTTAATTAAATTTAATAGTAGACGAGTATCTCATTTTTCTTAAAAAATATTGCATTTGACAGATTTTTCATCTATACATTCTCTTTTTTTTTTCAATTTTTGTTTTTCTCATATTGGATCATTTTTTGAGATATTCACATTGGCCTTTGTGGATGTTCTTAGAATCTGAAATGACTTTCATATAAAAATGTGTCTAATATCAGTATATTTATTTAATAATTAAATAAAATGGTATTTGTGAGAATTTTCCTAATTATGCTCCTAATATTTATAAGAAAATCATCTTGAAAAATTTATATGACATCTAATGATTTTAGACAGATTTGGATGCATGACTTAGATCTATTTTATGACAACTAAAAATCGACGTTTTTAGAAATCAGCTATTTTATGACAATTTTCAGTATTTCTAGAAAGTTAATATATTATCTACATAACAACTCATAACGAGCAAAATAAACTTGTAGCCTTTTACATTTTATAATAAATTGTCTTGTAAAAACGACCAGGAAAAATATAGATTAATTTTTATACGACAAGAGTGATGTATTTTATGGAAGTTTTTTTATAGCATATTCTTCAATTTAAAGCATGAGAAAAAATAAAATAAGCATAGTTAAAAACCTACTGTTTTATGGAAGTTCATATCCAATGAATGTGGATAAATACGACATTAATGATATGGCAATCACATTAACCGCGTGACGTCGGAAAAAGTTAGTGATTTTTTCAAACTTAAAAGAAACAGTATGATTTTACGGATAAGATCCGGTTTATCCACATGCATGGTAGTATAGGAAATACTAAGAATTTAGTGAATTACAGAAATATAAGAATTTGGACGTATATCAACCAACATAAAAGCTTTCACAGATTCACACAAAAAAAAACAACTAAGAAATATATGAGACAATAGACAAACTGTATTTTAAATACTATATTACAAGACTAAAATCTAGAGAATTAGTATATTTTTCTTCAAAATCTATATTTTAAATTTTCATACATATAATCAGTTATCAATACAATAAAATGCTCAATATTAAATCGTCAAAAGTCTAATCTCTCTCTCTCCCTCTTTTTGTCAATAAATAGGAGATAATCGCCCACCAAACTTTTTCACACAAGTAATAACAGTCAGTTCAGAGATTTGATCCTTTTTCTTTCTTTGCTTCTTAAAAAGAGAGAACTCAGTTATGGCGGAGATCCCAGGAAATGGCCACGGCGACGCCAGGGAAGGAGTACTGGTGGTGAACATCAATGAAGAAAACGAACATCAACAGCAAAAAGAAGCTATACGTATCCCAAAACCCATGAAGAAACAAGACTCTCTCCTCTCAATCTCTGTCCCTTTCTTACAAAAGGTTTTCACTTCTTTAACTCTCAAATCTCCAAGAACCCTTATAACCTTACCATGAATCTGTTTGGTGTCCATTTATTTCTTCAAATAAATTATTTAATCTGTTGTTATGAATTGTTCTGTTTTCAGTTGATGGCTGAGATTTTGGGAACGTACTTCTTGATATTTGCTGGTTGTGCATCGGTGGCTGTCAACGCCCAACACGACAAAGCCGTGACACTTCCAGGGATCGCCATCGTTTGGGGACTCACCGTCATGGTTCTTGTTTACTCTCTTGGTCATATCTCCGGAGCTCATTTCAATCCGGCTGTCACAATAGCATTCGCTTCTTCGGGCCGTTTCCCTCTCAAACAGGTCAACACATTAACACGTATCTATATATGTAACGTTTCATTATCGATCAAGTTTTGTTTTTATGTGTCATTTTGAGTTTGATGAAAAAACTAGAAGTCTAGAACCTTATCGTTTCACGAAAGTGTTAATTTTGTGATTTTCTGTAAATAAATAACATTTTAAGGGATTTTAACCAATAATAGTTATAAGTTTTAGCTAGCTAAAAAATAACATTTTTTACTGTACAACGACATTTTTTTTTTACTTTTATATACAAAACTACAGTTTTTTACATCTTTCGAAATTCATATTTTACAAAGTAGTTTATCCATAATCTTCAGCTCAAGGGATTTTTTTTTTCAAAATCAATGCAGTTAATTAAATGACACTAAATGAAACTTTCTCAGACTTATTTATATTATTCTTTAATATTTTAGGTTCCGGCTTATGTGATATCGCAAGTGATTGGATCGACCCTCGCGGCAGCGACTTTGCGGCTCTTGTTCGGGCTTGATCAAGAAGTTTGCAGTGGCAAACATGACGTGTTCGTTGGAACATTACCGGCGGGATCGGATTTGCAGTCGTTTGTGATCGAGTTTATCATCACTTTCTACCTAATGTTCGTCATTTCCGGCGTAGCCACCGATAATAGAGCGGTTAGTATCTCACAATCTTTTTATATAATGCTGCACCGAACTTCTTATATGTATATTCAACGTTGATGGCTATTTTCTTTTTTTTTTTGACAAAAGGATTAATTAATTAGTTGGGTAATTGTTATGGACACTTGCTATTTTAAGCATGTTCGGTTTAACTTCAGCTAATATAGTTTCCTTTCCAAGGAAATATTGTAATTTTAAGGGTGTTTTAATTTAAAATGGACTCCATACACTAGTTTGTAATTTTCCTCTTTGATTTGAAAATTTCACTACTAGGAAGATAGTTAATTTTGTTTATTTATTTATCTATCTGTGTTGTTAGGATGACCTCAGCAATTACACATGTAGTTTTCAACCCTTCTAATCTGTAAGAAACTAATTAATTTTGAACCTAAATGTAACAATCAGATTGGAGAGCTTGCGGGACTAGCAGTAGGGTCAACGGTGCTACTTAACGTGATAATTGCCGGGTAATATATTTACTCAATACCATCTCCATTAGTTACTTACCATTGTGCATATGTTAATGTTCTCTCGATTAAAACATGTGTATCCTTTTGTTATCAGACCGGTATCGGGAGCTTCGATGAACCCGGGAAGGAGTTTGGGACCTGCAATGGTATACAATTGCTACAAAGGAATATGGATCTACATAGCATCTCCAATTCTTGGTGCGGTTGCGGGTGCATGGGTTTACAACACGGTTAGATATACCGATAAACCGCTGCGTGAAATAACCAAAAGTGGCTCGTTTTTAAAAGCTGTGCAAAACGGTAGCTCTCGTTAATAAAAAACAAATAAATGGCTATGTTATAAGTTATAGTCATCGGACGTTTTGTTGTATCAAGCAGAAGTAAATGGGCTAATTTGGTATTTGAGTTTTTCTAAGGAACTAGCGCAGGGACGCACTCAGGTTGAGTGAGGGTGCGCCATATGATCCACTCTAATTTTTGTTTTTCTTTTAAGTAATTAGTTGTTATAATGTGTGCTATATATACTACTAAATAAGTTTCTGGATCCACCTGTTAAAAGAGTAAACATGCATGGTATGTAACGAATACATAAACTATGTAGCAGTGTAGCACCTTTGACTAGGCCTTACGTATGGCCTTGTTGTATTAACTGCTATGTTTATCTCTTCTCTCATTTTCATGCAAAAGATGCTATCTTCGTATTAATGGAAAACTGTCTCATTGTATATTTTAAAATAATTAATTCAAATTTGGAAGCTTAGAAAACTAAACTTAAAACAAAAATTTCAGAAATTATTATTTGGAACTTGTCAAAAGATAGCACAAAATACGGAGCTGCAAACAGTGCCAAGTGTGCAATACTTTGTCCAGGGCTTAAAAACCGACCACGTGTAACATTGTCCAGAAAACTCCAAACTTCACTTCGCTATTATCCGCCACATCAGTTTTTTCTCTAATGCGTGCCACATTAAGAACAAAAACGTCATTATCATCACTTCTCTCTGACTCTCTTATAAGACCATAACACAGAACCAGGCCTTTTAGTCGTGCAACTCACACGATGGCGTCAAGTGATAAAGTTCCGGTAGCGTGTCCGGCAAGCATCGGTGAAGGTAAGGAGCCGATGGGAGATCCGACGAAGACCACAACGGCTATGTTAGAGAAAGGAACGGCTATGTTGCAGTCTATGAAACCGATCAAGCAAATGAGTCTACATGTGTGTTCATTCGCTTGCTATAGCCATGATCCTAGCCGTCAGATCCAAGTTCATATCTATGGTCACCGTGTAAACCAAGACTTTCTCCAATGTGCTGTCTATGATTCCAGTTCCTCTAAGGCTCATCTCATCGGTATACATATAACTCCACCTCTAATTTTGTTTTACGTTTGTGATGCAAACACTTTCGAAATGGACATAAACTATGAAGTTTTTACATAGACGGTATAGACACTGATTATGTATAGACACTGATTATAAGTATAAGTATGTTATAACGCATGAGTGGCAATTAACCTTTAGTTGGAGATTATTACTTTATGATTTATTTATGAATGTGTTTGTTATTGCATTAAATTTCTAGGGATCGAATATATAGTATCAGAGAAATTATTTGAAAGTTTCTCACCAGACGAACAAAAGCTTTGGCACTCGCATGACTACGAGGTTACGTGTTTCAATATGGTTTATAACTATTACCCGAGAATCGAAAAATGAACAAATTGTAAGTTTTGTTTAATTGTAGATACAAATGGCTCTTCTGGTAACTCCAAGGGTCCCAGAGCTCGTTGCAAAGCCTGAGCTTAAAAACCTGGCCAAGTCGTATGGAAAATTTTGGTGTACATGGCAGATCGATCGTGGTAACTAATTCATCTAGTAAATACTAAAAAAACTAACCATATATGTTTGATAAAGTAAACCAACCATATATGTAGTTAGGGTTTCTTGATTTGTCCAAAAAGAGATTAAAAAAATATCAAAAAAGGATTGTTGATTTGTCTTATTTTAGGAGATAGATTACCACTAGGTGTACCATCATTAATGGTTTCGCCACAAGACGTTGATCTCGGGAGGATCAAACCGGAGCTAGTGAAGAAAAGAGATGAAGAACATGGAATCTCAACGGAATCGTTGAAGCCATCACGAGAAGGGATTTGCGGACCGGAGAAAAAGAATCTGATTGCTGATTATTGGGTTCGGTTTAGGAAAGGCTTTGCGCTTGATGTTGTTGAGACAGATATGAAGACAACAGCTCCCTTCCCCTGACCTTTTTTTTTTGTTGTCTTGTTTCTTTTTTTCAGTGAATCTCGAGACAATATATATGTTCAAAGCCTTATAAATAATATAAACGGGTTGTATTATAACGTCGTAAAGAAACTAATCCAATTTTTTTGAGAGGCATGTGTTCATCATATTGTTCTATAGCTCATGCAACCAGTGCCGGCTCTAGGGTAGGCATGTGCCTAGGGTCCATCATAAGAGCCCATAATTTTCTACTTAATCAATTACATACTCTATTTAAAATAAATTTGCCAAGGGTCCTATATGAAAGCATGCAACTATGAAAAAAAAATCACAAACAAGATTCTTTGTTTGTCATCTTTTATTGATCAAGGAAAGCTCAAAAGAGCAACATTTACGACGTGTAAATAGCAAAGTAGGAACATGTGGCAGAAAGTTTACACTTTTGAATTTTGATCATATTTTATGTTAATTTTGCATTACCATATTATAAAAATACAATACATAGTGGTCCAACTGAAGTTTAATATTGGAAAATGATGATATTGGGCTTCATATAGGCCCATTAGCTGTATTTAGAATTTCAAAAAGCCTTATTCTTCCTTAGAACTAACGCTACTTCACATTTCTTCCGACACTAAATAGCGTTTGCGTCTGGATTGCCGTAAAGTCAACCGAATCATGGAAGAGGTGAAGAAGGACGTATACTCGGTATGGGCATTGCCCGAAGAGGAAACGGAGCCCCGGTTCAGAAAGCTAATGGAAGCTCTGAGATCCGAGTTCTCCGGCCCAAGATTCGATCCTCACGTCACCGTCGTCGGAGCCACGAGTCTCACGGCAGACGAAGCGAAGAAGATGTTCGAATCAGCTTGCAACGATCTGAAAGCTTACACCGCCACCGTGGATAGCATCTCCACCGGAACTTTCTTCTACCAATGCGTTTTCTTGCTTCTCAAATCCACCCCTGAGGTAAATAAAGAAATTCTATTTTTTTTATTAAAGGATCATTACAAGGAGATGAGTAAGATCTATGATGTCTTGTTATGTTTATTTACAGGTAATGAAAGCTGGTGAACACTGTAAGAACCATTTCAAGTGTTCCACTACTACACGTAAGCTCTTTTGACTTTTTAAAACTGTTTTGTTTTGTTCAAACCTTTAGATCTTGTAGACTGAGAAGTATTATTTAAGAATCGGTTCTTAAAGTTCTTATCGAAGAATCGGTTCTTAACGTTTTTAATTTTTTTTTAATTTCTGATAAGAATTCCACCTTAAAAACCCGAGGTAATCATGCTCTAATTAATTGTTTTTTTTGTTTTTTTTTTGTCTTATGTCAAAAAACCGTTTTATTGACTGTGAATGAACAATAACGCAGCTTACATGCCGCATCTGAGTCTGCTTTACGCCGAGTTAGATGAAGAAGGGAAGAAGAAAGCGCAGGAGAAAGCTTATGCACTCGATAACAGTCTTGATGGACTGAGTTTCCGGTTAAACCGACTCGCTCTCTGTAAAACCGATACAGAAGACAAGACTCTTGAGTCATGGGAGAAAGTGGCTGTGTGCAATCTCAATCCTTAAGAAATAAAGATGAAAGTTCGGTTCTGAGTCTGTAATAAAAGGTCTCAATAAACTTTGCTTAACAACTGTGTGTTACCATCTCTTCTTACTCGAATCGAATAATGTTACGATACTAATTCGCTACATACTGCACCAATTTCTTTAAATAAGTTTTTGCATATTTAGCCAAAAGAAACGACTCTCAAGCTCTCTAGTAGTTAGTCCGTTACAGTATTTCAAATTAATTGTATAACATTTGGATCAAAATGTCAAGGCTTCATACGTTTTTTTTTTTTTGGCTTCATACGATTAATGTTTGTCTTTGTGTTTCTGGTATTTTGATAAGATTTAATGACAGTATGAAATGAATTTGCTTCATGTTAATATACGTAAAAATACATGTATCTTATGGGGTGGTTTGGTCTATATCTCGTGAAGACGGCCAGACGGGTGAGAACTATTCAAGGATTTGAATATTTGATCCTTATCAAAATGATAATAAGAGGATTTAGAAATAGTAAAGATGCAGTCGATCTGGAATGCAGTTGACATTCCCTACTAAATTACTTATAAAGTCCCCAAAAGTTTGAATTGAAATTAGAGGATGAGAATTGTTAAAAGTTTTCGGGATGAAGAGTTAGCTACGTGCATGAATTTTAACACACATACTATAAACATTTGGTCATTAAAAAAAAAAAAAACCTTCAAACGAGCATCAATAAATAGATATTCAATCAAATATGTTAACAAGCTTTGAAACTACGACGCGACCATTTTTGCTGTCAAGTGCATGAATCCAAATTTAATAATCATGATGCTATGAAATCTAACAAATAGCATGTGTTAATTTAAAAGAAGCATATAGGTATCTAATGAGAATATTCTTTTTCACTATAACTAATGAAATAAGCTTTTAAAAATATATCTACCTAAAGAGGAACTCATTTGGAACGTAGTTGACATGTCTACTAGATTAGTTAGAAAATTTATAAAAGTTGGAATTGAATTAAGAGATAAGAACTATTATAAAAAGATCAACCACAATGTACATTACACAACTTGTCATTTGTTGAGAGACCAACAAGTTGATTATCTATATGCCAAGTCTTAAAATACGAACGTCAGAATCTTGACCTTGCATGTAATACATGGTTCAAATTGTAAGAACTATTTTAATATTTTAAAAATACTTAAGCATATAGGTTGACAAAAGAAAGAAGAAAAAAAAGATGCTAAACTCATACAAATTCACATGTTGTGAAGTTGAATAGTAATTTAACGTCTTTTATCTTGTAAAATTAAATTAGAAATAGAGATGAGGATGAACATGTCAATCTTTTTAACCCATCCAATGTATACATCAAATAAATCAGATCACATACTTAGCATGAAACCTTATCCAATTTAGTTATTTTCCTTAGACAACTAAAGTGGCTATTATATATAAAAAAAAAAAAAAAAAAGACAACTAAAGTAGCCTGCAAATTGATATTTTTATAATTTAAAACAAGTGGAAAATAATGTAATCGTTTAGGAAAATCAAAAGGAAACAGAATTGAAATGTTTCTCCTGTGTCTTATCCTCTTTGAAGTCTTTGTCCCCAAGTTCTTACTTTAACACAAACAAAACCAGGTTGGCTACAGAGAACCAAAAAAAAACACGTCGGCGAACTCAAAACGCTGTCGTTTTTAAACGAATCGAATCCCACACGTGCGGAATCATCCACACCGTTATTACCAACCCGACTGACTAAATCAACGGCTCAGATCTATTCACTTAATTTTCGTCAACGCGTTCTTACACCGTGGTGGCGACAGAGATGACGTCTACTTTCCAAAAAGAAACTGTCCTCTCACGCGCTTCAAAGTTCACGTGACACAAACACGCTCCCAACACAAGCTGGCTCTTTCTCTCCTTCTTCTTCTCCGACGACTTTTAAACCGACAAACTCTCTTCTCTTCTACATTACGGCACCACACACACACACCTATATAAACCGGCTTTCACTTTGATCTATCGGATTGTGTAAACCGGTTTTGTAAAGGTTTGTCTTTTATAGAGATTTTCCTCAAAGGTCGGAGCTTTTAAGGGTTTTAGGAATCGAAAACTATGGAAGATGATTACAAAACGCCGCGTTTTACGATCGGTAGGCAATCATCGATGGCGCCGGAGAAGAATCTCGAGCCGTCGGTTCACTCGGAAGAGGAGGTGCTTGAGGACGGAGAGGAGATCGACGGTGGTGTGAGGCTTATGTATTTGTCTAACGAAGGTGACATTGAAGGGATCAAGGAGCTTCTTGACTCAGGGATCGATGCTAATTACAGAGATATTGATGATCGGACAGCTCTACACGTGGCGGCTTGTCAGGGGTTGAAGGATGTTGTTGAGCTTCTTCTTGATAGGGAAGCTGAAGTTGATCCTAAAGATCGTTGGGGAAGCACTGTAAGATTAGAAACTAAAAAAACACTTTTTTTTAGATCTTTGGTTTTGTTGTGTAGTGGAAATCTAATACTTTTTTTGTTTGTTGAAAATAGCCTCTTGCAGATGCGATATTTTATAAGAATGTTGATGTAATTAAGATTCTTGAGATGCATGGAGCTAAACATCCGGTAAGAATCTAGCTGAAACTTTATGTTGGTGTTTTGATTGTATCTATTTGCTGTAATAAGCTATTGTTATTGATACATTTGTATGTTTCAGATGGCTCCAATGCATGTGAAGACTCCTCGTGAGGTTCCTGAATATGAAATTAATCCTAGTGAGCTTGATTTCACTCAAAGCAAAGAGATCACAAAGGTTAAAAACATTTCCTTGTCTTTTTTTTGGATCTATTACCGATGTGTTTAGATCCTTTTACTGAACCTTATTGTATTCAGGGAACTTACTGTATGGCAATGTGGCGTGGTATTCAAGTTGCGGTGAAAAAGCTTGATGATAAAGTTTTAAGCGATGATGATCAAGTGTAAGTGAAATAGTATCTTGTAGATGGTAATATAATGTTTTAGATTCTAACTCGTTTTGGTGTGTGTGTGTGTGTGTGTGCAGGAGGAAGTTTCATGATGAGCTTGCGTTGCTCCAGAGGCTTAGGCATCCAAACATTGTTCAGTTTCTTGGTGCTGTGACTCAAAGCAATCCAATGATGATTGTAACTGAATACTTGCCTAGGGTATGACTTTCTCTGCTACATTCTTTTTTTTGTTTTGTTTCTCGCAACCAAGATCTCATTTGATGATACGTTCTTCAGGGAGATTTGCGTGAGTTGCTCAAAAGGAAAGGACAATTAAAACCAGCTACTGCTGTTAGATATGCTCTTGACATTGCAAGGTATGCATCTTCTTAATGTTTAGAATGTTCTTTGTGATTATAAGAGTTTTCTTACCGTTGGATTCTTATAGGGGAATGAGCTATCTTCATGAGATCAAAGGAGACCCTATTATCCACCGAGATCTTGAACCTTCGTGAGTACACACTATCCACATTAGCGTATAGGTGTTTTGTCTCTTATATTTTCTGACAGTGGTACAATTATATATTTTGCAGAAACATATTGAGAGATGATTCAGGGCATCTGAAAGTTGCAGATTTTGGAGTAAGCAAGCTTGTTACTGTTAAAGAAGAAAAGCCTTTCACATGTCTAGACACTTCTTGTAAGCTCTTTTTATCTCACCCATCTGTCTTCTTGGTCAACCCTAGAGTCTTGATTACTGATTAAGTTTTAATGTTTGTGATCCACATTATAAGGTCGATATATTGCTCCTGAAGTTTTCACTAGCGAAGAATATGACACAAAAGCTGATGTTTTCTCCTTTGCGTTGATCGTTCAAGAGGTAATTTAAAACCCTTTTTTTTTGGTTTGCTCTTTCTTTGTTCATGTCGTTGATTCCTTTTAAGTGTCTGGTTTTGTATTAGATGATTGAAGGACGAATGCCTTTTGCTGAAAAGGAAGACAGTGAAGCTTCAGAAGCTTATGCATGCAAAGAGCGGCCTTTGTTCAAAGCTCCATCAAAGCTTTACCCTCATGGACTTCAAAAGTCTGTCTTATTCTCTCTTGTCATTATTGATTGGTTTAGTCCATGTCATTAACCGGTTTGGTTCGTTTTTTGTATCCCATAGGTTGATAGAAGAATGCTGGTTAGATAAACCGGCTAAGCGACCTACTTTCAGAGAGATCATTAAACGGCTTGAGTCCATTCTTCATCATATGGGTCACAAGCGACAATGGAGGGTACTACTGAGTTTCTTCTTTTGTTTGGTTTTCTAGATTATGTTTTAAAAATGTCTCTCTAACCTGTTTCTTGTTCCACATGTTTTTATCAGATGAGGCCATTGACTTGCTTTCAGAACTTCGAGCACAAGAAGAAACATAATTGGGATATGAGCAGTCATGACGGCTCATCATCCGGTTCACATTTGTGATTCTTTTATCCGGTTAAGAAATGATTCTTGTGTATTCCTTCCGGTTTAGTTTGGACAAGAGCTGCATTCTACTGTAGTATAAAAATATTGTAAGATCTATGGTGTTTTAACCTCAAGATATATTTGCTGTTGTAATATTAAAGTTGCTTCAAAATGTATGATTCTACCTCATTTATATGGTTCTTATTTCGAAATGTAAGAAGTATGCCAATTGTTAGATTTTCTTGTGTTATTAGCTTTGATTGGAGAACTTGAAACTTCAAGTAACTTCAAAATCAGTCCGGTGTTCTTTATTTTTTTTGCTAAATCTTTTTCTTCTCCTGCAGTTTTCTTCAATATGTGTTTTTGTGCTGTTTGATAAAACAGTAGACAATTTGTGCTGTTTGATAAAACAGTAGACAATTGGGATAATAACACTGGTTCTTATTATAGGATCTAATGTGAGTGTTACTTTAAGCCTAAAATCGGGTTCATTGATTTCGGTAGCACAAGACCCATTGCGGATGATGATCGAGCAAGTGAGCTTGCGAGAAACCCGTCGAGTAAAATGAGAAGGGAGATCGCGGAAGAATCACGGAAATGGTTAGAAAAGCAAGTCATTAAAAAAAAAAGAAGAGAATTAGAAGCAACACACACAGAAAAGCTTAGATCTTACCTCTACTCTCATCGATCTCATTTATTAGTCTGTAGTTCATTTACAGCTTTGATCTTCATTTGTTATTTTCGATTTCGATTATTGCTTTGTATCAAATCTTATATAAAAGAAGTTCATTTTTATCAACAAAATTCATATTGTATCGTTGTGTTCTAAAAACATTGTTGCCCACATCATTTATTGTCCTTAGATTTAACTTTTAATCACTATAAAATATTTAACATGGATTTTAGGATCTACAACTTTTATATCAAAAGAACTTTATACAGTACATAATTTCATGTGAAGAAAATATGCATAAGAATTATGAAAACGCATATATAATTTATATACATTTCTAAGAGGGTCCCAACGACAGCTTCTTTATTTGGAAGTGTATTCATTTGTTTTCGATTGTAGTTTCAGGGGGCATTTTACCTTGGACATACACATTCACTGCATAGGTTATACACAAATTCATTTAGTTTAGGGGTTGGTTTGCTCTCTTATAACAGTTTCAATCACTTCGTATAATTCCAAACCTTTCAAAATACTAAACTGATTAGTTTATGAAACGTTTGTGGTTACTTATGAATGACTAAAATATTTTTTTCGAAAAGAAAATTTATTTAAATTTACGATATATAATAATTTTCTACAAAATAAAATATCACAATTAAAAATATCTAATTAATATTCACTAGACATCTATAATAACTTATATTTATGATCTTAAATTAAAATAGATTTTTTTTCTATATCACTATAGTATACATATAAATCGAACAAACTATTTTTTTTTGTAAATTTAAAATTGATCTGTATAAACAAAAAAACTATATTCTATTGAAATCATAATTTCACCTAAACTATAAATACAATCTTCATTGTAAATATCTTCAATTATATATAAATATAAATATATATATATATATATATATAAATTATAATAATAATAATATAGGATTTTGATTTTATAATCATACATTATTAGTTTATTGTTTGACCTTTACGGCATTCTATGTTTAACTAGTCCAATCATATAAATTATTTAATGTGTTTAAAATTGGTGGAAGTCCCTAATTTTGTGGTTTAAATAAATTCATTAATGATTTTATATCATCCGAGTTTTGAGTGTCAAAAAGGTGAATCAGATAAATTCATTTTTGTAAAGCTTTCGCATTTTAACCATATCGTTTGAACCAATTAGAATTCGGACCTTTTTTAGTTTGAGAAGTCTTGGAGTGATACGATAATTTGCCAAACGTATACAATCATCGATATTCACAAATACAGTTTTTACATTTGTTAACAAAACCAATAAACCCCATAAAACAACACTTGTTACTTATTTACTTTGTAAGAAATGAACGAGTTACATAATTAAAAAAATATATACTTGACACTTGACAGTGATTAAATTATGGTAAAAAACAACCTACTATTGTGGTCCATTATTGAAGATACGAAAAGATATTATGGTTTTTAAAACCCACTCCGACCATGAAAGCTTCACCCAAAGCAACTGAGTTGTTAACTTTTATAAATGACCTAATAAATTTATCTATATATACATGATGTAAAACACATCTACTTCTTTACTTTTGTACAACTATCTAGATATATACTAATTTGTAATTTTGATAATACCTATGTTAACCAATTATTTCACATGCTATAGGAATATAGAGATGCACTGTTTAATTAAATGTTTTCTTACCAAGTCATCTTTTAACTCTTACTAAAATAAAACATCAGAGAAGGTATCTTTTTAAGTCAGAAAAATTATTCTAATTACCAAATTAAAAATGTAAAAAAAAAATAAAGCATCTTGCAAGTGGGTGTAAATAGTTGTTCCAACATAAATATGGATGTGCAATGTATAGACGTTTCTTATATCTCTATCACATTACCCTAAATGGATTCATAAAGATGGAGATCAAAGACTACACATCACATGCTATTCTCTCTCTTCTTTTGGCACAACCTTACTCCATTTATTCATTGTGCTCCTCAATTATTCAATATATTTTATTTGAACTCCATAACCAAAAAAATAGGAAAACTACATATTCTTTCCTCCAAATACATAATAATTTTTTTTATAAGGGGAGATTCCGACTTAAACCCCACACTAGATTTTGAACCCGCACATCCGTGCGGGTATTTTTTCATTTTATAAAAATATAACAAATTTTTTAAAATATATATGATTTATATTCTATTGTTATATATTGTATAATTGTATAATTTTAATTATTTTTATATAATATATTGTTGTAAGTTTTAAAATAAAAAAAATATTTATATATAATTTATTGTATAATGTATTTGTTGTGAGTTACAAAAATATATGTTAATATTTTTTGTAAAAAAAAATGTTCTATGATTTAAAAACTTTAATATGTTTTAAAAGGGAGTGATATTTATTTATTTATTTGAATAAAAGAAAATTTTTAAATCAAAATATTTTCCTTTTACCAATTTAATATATTTTATATTCATTTCACATAGCATTTTATTTTAATATAATATAGAATATAACTAAATTATAAAATATAACAATTTTTATTTTAATTAACAGTAATATAGATATTTATATATTAATCACGAAATTAAATAATGCATATTTTATAAAAAATATTTAAACTTCTAAGTAAGATCTTGTTAGATATTTTCTCAACAAATTTATTACTAATATCTTATTAATTATTAAAATATTCCTCCAATTATATATATTTGATTGATTAGTATAAATAATCAAATATATCATATTAATGAAATGGTCCAACATGACTTTTTGTAGTAGATGTAAATGGTACTTCTCTTTTAATAGAGAAGATTAGCTTTGCAGACTATATAGAAAGTTGATATTCTAGACGTTGTACAAAACATACATAGTAGTCGACTATTATTAAAAATTGCGGTGGAAGATGAAACTCTTTCATACCATTGGTAATACATATTTCTTTTTTTATATAAATCAGAAAAAAAAAATGTGAATCCATTTACGGAAACTATTTAGTCTATTTTGAGACTCTTACACTTTTGAACAATACTCCAATTTTTTATTAAACTGTGATTATTATATATGTTACTTCTAACAGAAATCAATCAGTATGAACGAACTAGATTCTAACTCTAGAGTTTGAGTCTTTGACTATATATTGTCAATTCGTGAACAAAAAAAATTGATACTTCTAAGTTTCTTTACTGCCAAAAACATTTCCGTTTAAATCACTGAGAAAATGATATATCAAAAGTAACATTTTCGTTAGCATTGGTGATATGTCTCGAGAACAACTAGTCAAATAAAAAATGTAAAGTGATAGTAGTTGGAGATGATAGAAAAATGTCTGGTTACCTTCTAATGGGGTCAGAAGCATTACACTTAAATAACTTTCCAAATTAAGCCCTACGTCTTGTCCAGCCCATAAAAGTACGGTTCATCTCTCTATTTCCCGATAAACCCTAAAACCTATATATTTATCTAATTTTTATTTATTTATCTAATTAATTTATCCCTTTGTTTTATATATACAGTAGTGTCAATATCACAACAAGTAAACATCATCAACTCCAAATCTTAGTCACATATACAAAGTACGTTAATTTCCTTCACTATCGAGTAATTTACTCTTGATTTCTTACATCCATTTTTCCAGAATTGGCGATGAACACATTGGTACTCACTAATGTTCAGTTTAGCCAAATATATGAATGGTTACAGAATATTTCATATTTGTTACTACTTATAAACATTCAGTTCATATATATGAAAGATAAACTTCAAAACATTCAGTTACAAATTTCTCTAAAGACCATTTAATTGTAATTTTTAATCAGCATGAAGCTTTTTCCTTTTAAAATTGTTTAGCATTTGTTTACTGTCTACCAATTAAGTATATCACATTAGGACATTTTGAAGTAATATAACTATAATTATATACAGATATTACAATATTTCGAAATATAATTTACAACTTCCTTATAAATAGATATATGCATTTACCGCGTTTAGTGGAACAAGTTTTCCTGAAAAATGTGAATGAAAACTTGTACATAAAATTTTCAAAAAGAAAAAGGAACAGATCTGTTAAATTTTCCTCTTTCAAAGGGTCAAAATCTAGTAAAAACAAAGAAGAAGATCAATATTTGATGGAGCAAAAAATGTACTGATATTTACCCAAAGATTTTAGTGCCTCAAAAACTTTCACATGAAAAGGAAAGACAAGTAATGGTAAGTAGAGTCTGCATCTCATGAGTGATTGCCCAACTTGAACACTCTTTTCATTTAGACCTTTGTGAAAGACCACACAAGAACTATCCACCAATAAAATCCACTATTAATTTTCCTCCATTTTTACTTTTTTCAACAGTTTCTCAAATTGGGATATACCTCAATAAGTATTATATTTATGAAAAGTCAGACGTATGTTGGGTGTTATTTATGGTAATTAGACCTATATTTATAATAGTTCAAAAAAAGACCTCTATTTATTAATTATATTTTTTCATGTGATTCAAGCTGATATACTCATGCTTCGTATAAAGTGAACCTTTAGATTGCTCTTTGTCAATCCTTTGTTTTTTAAAACTAAACATATCTAAATTTTCTTAAAATGAGTAACATTTTATATTAATCTTACTCACAAAAATATCAGCCAAGTACCTACCTCAAGTCAATTTTGAATTCTGATAAGTCTTTCACCATACATACGTTTTAGAAGGTACAATCCCCATCACACATGTACTTATCTCTTAGAGGTGATTCATAAAACTATGCTTTTGTGAGTTAAGAACAGTAATCAACATAATTTGACAAGACACTAAATAGATGTAAAAAGTGGAAAAATAAAATTAGAGAGAAAATAAAACATAAATAATATTATTCCTTTATAAAAATGTACATACCCATATCTTCACCAGCACAACCTCACCTTCCATTTTCTGCAACTTCTCCAAATCTCATACTTTCCAGAAAATCATTTTCCCAAGAGAAATAAAACTTTCCTCTTTGTTCATCTCTCTCCCCCCCAACAGGTCAGTCTAATAATTTGGTGTTCCCCAATCCTTTCAAACATTATCTTCTTCATGATATTACTTTGCTTCACTTCTTTTGGTCCTTATACCAAATCTATGTCCTTCTTTAGTTTTATTTTTTCTGTTTTAATTTGATTCTTTTTTATG